GGTCTGCAGTTGGGTTATGGCGAGGGGGACTCTTGAACTGTCAGTACCATAATACGTTTTGAGTGGTCAAAAAGGTAACATTGACTTTTACTACCGAACGGAACATTTTTGTGTCATCTACTAGAAATAAAATTTGCAGAGACTTCTGGTTTTGTGGGAGGTAAATTTTTTAAAATATCATAAACCAGATGAGAAGAGACAGGAGTGGTTGTGCAAAGGGAAACTACTGAGTAAAATATTTCTGTCGTCTATTGTAACTGTTGTCTCCCTTAAGCGGAAATAACCTTTTTATTGGTGTCTTGTTAATTTATATAGTAGTGTCTATAGCAGAATTATAATAATAGTATATTATATTTTTGTGAAAGTTCGTCACTTTGGTAGCCTAAAACTTTCGAACCACTCAACTGGCGAGTTTGACAAATTTAATGGACAGTTTCATTGAGGAGCCCGAAGTCACTGTAGTTAAAGCTTTTCATTAGTTTTGTATAGATCTAATATTAGGAAAGTCCGTCTTCTGAGACGCCATTGTAAACAAGAAAGGTTTCCGTTCACTATCTAGCCATGCGTAGGCCCCTACTGATTACACACCTTTGAAATTAAGGAGTGTACTACCACGAAAGCGGAATAGAGAATCAATCTGTCTATACATCTATTACATATATAATAATATTTGGCAATTTGGAAACACATGTGTCACTTTTCTCTCAAAAGTTATTTATTGCTCCATTCCAGTAGACTGTAAATACAGTAGGCCAATGACTTTCAGCTGATGTTAATGTACCGATCATTCCTTTCATCGAAATAGAGCCCAGCTACTTACTATAGTGTTCGTAGTATATTAGGCCTATAGCCTAATATTTGAGAAAGTTTGTCACTTTGCACAACTAACTCGCTTGTTGCAGTGTTGGTGTTGTAAGGGTTCGATGACTCCCCTTTCAGATACTTTTAGGTTAAGAAAGAAGTGAGATCAAAATGTAACGTCCACCTCTGACTGTATTTAAATCTAACTGGGCTTAAAAACAGCACATGCTCTAAAATAATAATTATGTCAATGAAACAACATTATGTAGATATGTTAGTAATAAAGTAGATCGTGAAAAGAACGTTTTCATACATTATAATGAGGATTGTGAAATGAAATAGGCCTACAGTTCTCTTTTCCCAAGGAATAGGCTATTACCGAGGAATGGTTTTAACAATCGATTCGAAGTACCACCACAACCCCTACCATAACACTACTTCTTCTACTACTACTACTACTACTACTGCTGCTGCTGCTGCTGCTGCTGCTGCTGCTGCTGCTGCTGCTACTACTACTACTACTACTACTACTACTACTATCGGGAAAGAAAAGGGTAGGGTGTGTGGGGGGGGGGGGGGCGAAAGCAATAATCAGCGTGCAAAAAGACAAATAACAATAGCATCAACCTTATAGATCAACAGAGGCATAGCAACACCACAATAACATCACTACAACAGCAACATCAAACTTAATCTATGTAGTTCAACAGAGGCATAGACACACTACAATAACTTCAAACCTAATGGAGCAACAGAGGCATAAAAACATCATAACAACATCAGTACCACAGCAACATCAAATCTTATATTTAACAGAGGCATAGCAACATCACCACAACACCACAACAACATCACCGTCACCAGAAAGAAAAACGTGAATTTATCAAAAACTAGTGGAGCACACCAAAAGAAAGGCGAGGGAGAGAGGAAGAAAAGGGTGGGGGAATGGGGGTGGTAAAGAGCAAGGGGCGGGGGGAGGGACAGAAATACAGACAGAGAAAGAGAGGTACAGACAGACAGACAGATAGATAGATAGATAGATAGATAGATAGATAGATAGACGAAAGAGAGAGAGAATGAAAGAGGGGGGGGGGTGCTCATTTGTATGTCATCGAAGG